ATTTACTAATTAAGTCAATAAGAGCAGTTTCTTCTTGATGTTGTTTAGTAAGGACGGTGATTTGTTTAATAAGTTTACAACAACGATCATTACAGCCTAATTCAATGTTATTATCTGAAGTATCACTAGATGAATGGTAATCATATGAGGCATTTGAATTAAGTATATCAATGGGGGAGTTATTAGGGAATTGATCTAACTGGAAGATTTCAAATAATTAATTTTTAGATTCATCATTTATTTGGAGTTGATTAACTTTATCTTTTAATTTTTGTTTTTCTTTACATTTATTTGAATAATGACCTTTTTTACCACAATTGAAACAGGTAATGTCTTTAGTAGATTTTGACCTTGGATTCTTGTAATACTTCTTTTTAGGTTTAGTATAAAATTTATCAGTTGATTTAGGGGGTGAATACTTCTTATACTTATTAGAGTGTTTGTACGAAGTTTTTTGTTTACTATGTTTATGTTTTCGTCTAGAGGGTGCGACTGGAGGTAAACCATATTGTTCACAGAAATTTCATAATTCATATTTAGTTTTATGTTCATCCTTAACAGCTTTTTGACTAAGTTTTAAGTCAATACACATTCTTAATCCTTCTTTTTGGATAGTACTGATGATATCACCATAGCTTAGATTATCATATTCGATTACACCAGTAGATTGACTAAGGACATCTCTAATTTTATGAGCAAAAAGACTAGGCAAGCCATTAATGAATTTTTCTTTCCAAAATAATTTAGTACAGTCTTCCCTAAGCATGACACGGGAGGTAAAAACATCTTTGTACCATCTGAAATCACTTAATGTAGGACAAGTAAGGTTACTAAGTTGATCATGGATTCTAGAATATATATTAGTTGGTGTACCAATAAAATGTCTAACTATGGTGTAAATTAGGGTGTTGATTCCATCAGGTTTATAATGGCCAATTGTTTCATCAAATATGGATAAATCATTTTCATCTTTTTGATTTGCATGTAAAATAGATTCTCTTTGATCTTTAGTGAGATATTTTTCCCACCAAGATTTTAACATATCAATAAAACCAGAGGTTATTAATGAAACAATTTCAGGTTGAGTATAATCTGGGTAGTTACTAAGATAACTATTGGCAACCATGGATAAATGGTTTAATTTTTGAAAGATTTGATCTTCAGTAAGACCATCTATATTGCATTCATATAATTTTTTAGCAGAAACAGAAAATTGGTTATTAAGGTTAGTTTCTTCATATTGAAGATCAAAAGGAGTAGTCCTAGAATACCAACTTTTTGTAAGAGTTGTAGGATTGACCTTAGGATGAGTAATTCGATTAAGATTAGAAGATTGAAATTGCTGGGCTAAAAGATTAATTTCATTGTCAGATGTGTCGGTTTCTGAATGATGGGAAATAATATCTAGAGTAGGTTGTTGGTTTAATACAGTAAGACCTTTTTCAATTGAAGGAGAAGCTGTCGTTTCATTTAAAGGAGAGGCTAGTTTAGTGAATAATTGCTCTATGATTTTAACTATAGAACTATCCTGAGTAACTAGACTATCTCTTTTGGATCGTTGACTTGGTAGATTAATTAAAGGTTTGTCTAAAGGCTGTTTTGAGGAATGACTGGGTGTATATTCATCTAAATTAGTTTCTATTTTATCTAATTATTTACCAATTGTTTTTAAATATTGATTAGTGTAATTGTTTTGTTCAATGACCTTCTTTAATTCATTGTCATTACCAGGTAATTTAAATGGAGAAGCTTGAATGACAGAACCTTGGTGTTCTATAATTATGGTGGATAGAGGAGGATGACTGGAACTAACAGTAGTATTAGAAGATGTTTTCCATTTGGTTTTTGTAATTGTATTAACTTTGTTGTAATAATTTTCTAAGTATTCAAAGAATGGAACTTCTACACTGTGTTCAGTCATAAACTTATACCATTTGTGAGTAATTTTGGATTGCTGATTAGAATCATATTTAAGTCTGTAAGCTTGGCGTTTGGCTTTATTATTTTTAGATTTAAATTCAGTATGTAATTTATCTAAGTCAGAAGCAAAAGGTTTACTAATCGTTAATAATTGAGGGCTTATTGGAGGTATGACTTCAAAGTCAGTTTGTGTTGGTGAATACTGAGAAACAGTATCTTCTTCAGGAAAATGAGTATAACTAGAATAGACAGGTTTACTAATTTAAGAAGTTGCCGAATCATCTACTTCTTTCATTTTACTATGTGAAGTTTGACCAATATGAATTTGACTGTTTTTTTCTAAATAATGGTGTATTAAATATTTCATCTTCTGTTTCAGTATCAGTAGGTATACTAGAAGTACTATGCCTAGAGGATTTAGTAGATCTATTAAATTTAATTCTAACGGAACCATCAGTAAATTGTTGAATATCTTAAACGTCTTGACAAGTAGATTGTTTTTTATTATGTTTGTAATTTTCATTGACCGTCACCCATTGATCAGGAAGAGTAATATCTTTCCATTCAATCATCTTAGGAATATTTATATTAGTATCATTACTACTACTTTGAATTAGTAAAGTTTTATCTTTTGGACTCTTGTGTAAAGCTTGAACATTTAGATTAGTTTTAATATATTTGTAATAAACACGATAAATTAATGCAATATTATGAACTTTTTCTTTCATGTTTGTAAAAGAACCACTTAACTAAATATTCAAAGTTAAAGCATCTAATATATGTGGATCTCTAAGACTAAGGGTAAAATCAGGAAAGCAATTAAAATGGGTGGGTCCTCTATGGAGACCAGTTTCCATCATCCCCATTAAACTATCATTATAATCTAAAAAACAAGCATCTCGTAGACACAATAAAACAGAAGTTTTTTTTACCTTGTTGGGTTAATGGTTTGATACTGACTTGAACTAACCCTAAGTGAATAAAATTATGGCCAATTTTTAAACATCGTTTAATAGTGTTAGTATCAAGCAATTGGCAGATTTCCTTAGATTTTTCTAAAACATAAACTTGTTCTAAGGTTTTAACATAAAGATTTACATGGAATGTAGACTGCATAAAAGTAGTTTTATATATTTCCTTAATAGGTAATTGTGATATATTCCAACTCACATCAATTTTATCATTTTGTATTTCTACATGTTCTTTATTAATTACTAGACCTTGATTAGGTATAGAGGGTAGTGTTATAGACCTAGAGCTAACAGAAGAGTTACTTCTAAATAATCGACTCATTATTCTTGAAATGGCTTACAGTGAGCTTAATACATTGTCTAAACTTATCATGTTTTCACATCCGATGTGTTCACACATACCCATTTCGGAGAATCCCTGTGATTCCAATACTGCCTAACCAAAGGACTTACCTAAGACCTGGGACGGAAGATGGGTGACTAATGACATACAATGGTAGAGGAAAGCATCAGAGTTGATTAAATAAAAATAACACTTCAATTAGCAACATGAATCAATAGCAACTTGGCTCTGATAATATTAAAATTATAAATATTAATAATTAAATTTATAAAAAAAAATTTATGAATTTGCATTTTTTTAAGTCTGACAGCACCGACAGCACCGAAAAGTAATGACTCCCAAAATTTATAAGTATATGACCATTCTTTAAGATTATTATTTTTATTATTATTTCTTTTAAGATGATTCAGTTTGAAAACCACATGTCATTGAACTTTTCGAGTGCCTATTAATTCATCTTAATTATTTAATTGCTATGCAACCTTTTGACTCTCCTAATAAGCAATTTTCCCACGGTATTAGTTAAAACCGTTGTTTTACCCATGTAGATATCTTTATCAAATAAAATTCAGCAAAAACGCGGAGAACATAAATCATCCACCACACTTTTAAAATCAAGGTAAAAATTCTTGTCATTTTTTCTGGGATTATAGCTGTCAATTGGAGTGACTAGAAATTGCGAAGAGAACACTCAACGCGTTAGAAAAAGACAATATTCCAATTCCTCATGATTTTTGTTGAAGACTTTATTATTAATTAGTACGAGAAAACTATATTGTATTACAGTAGGACTATCATATCTCACTTTTCTTTTCTTTTTTTTCTTCATTCTTTTATATTTTTCTTTTTTCCTTCATTCTTTTATATTATTACATTATTTGATGACATATTATTTACTTTCATTAAACATTTGTCATTTAATTAATAACATTTACATAAACAAATTTGAAATATTATTTATCATCGAATTTGTTCCACCTATATTTATATTCGTTCAATTCATGAGATTCACAAATTAGATTAATCGCACAAAAATATTAAATTGATCAAACTTAAAAAGTCAGATAATCTGATTACATTTATATAAAAAATAATGAAAGATCTATTCTCAAAATCATAGTTACCATTCATTTTTTTTAAACATATATAATCCAATCATGTAGTTGCTTCTCCAATCAATTTAATTTTTTACAAAATAATTTACTCAACATGTAGTATAAATTGAACAATTCTAATCACAAAAATAGATGCCCAAATAGGTCCGCAATTGGCCCAGCAAGATCCTTCCAATAGAGAGAATTTACCTTCATTATAATAGTGAGATTCACCACGTATAAAACATTTGTAAAATAATTCAGTAGTGTATCGTAATTTTCTAAATCAAAAATTAATTAGGTAACGGTGACACTATTTTACATTGTGTCAATAATTAATAAAAAAAATTATTAAAAATTAAGTTTTTCTCAATTTTAAAATTTGAATTTGACTATCATTATAGGACTCGTAAAACTCACCACGAATCCTATTTTAATTTTTCAAACCTCTCCTCTTTTGCAAACTCTTCAATTATACAGTTTTCACTATGGGACTTTTCCTTGGGGCCCATATTTCAATGGGTGACTGTTTCATTTCATGTTTCGAAAGAGTCACTCTCTCTCTCTCTCTCTCTCTCTCTCTCTCTCTCTCTCTCTCTATATACATAGAGAGAGAGAGAGAGAGAGTTGTTTAAGTGAAACTCACTCCTGCAAACCCTTCATCGATTTTTAAAAAAGCACTTATATCAACAAGCCCTTCTTCTTACACAGTACTGTAAAAACAAAACAGTAAACCTTTTCAAACCTTCCAAAAAACCATGAAGTTTGGCAAAGAATTCACATCCCAAATGGTACCAGAATGGCAAGAAGCATACATGAACTACAACCACCTCAAAACCCATTTAAAAGAAATCCAACGCGTCAAACTCCGACACAAACCACCACCACCACCGCCCACCGGCCTCAAACGAAAACTCACCCTTTACAGAGCTTTCAGCGGCTTAACACAAAGAATCGCTTCTCCCAGAAGTCCTTCTACCTCCTCAGACATCGAAAACCAGGCCATTGTAGTACAATGGTCTGATGGTGGCGATCAGTACGAGACGATGTTTTTGAGGGCGGCAGAGGAGGGAGGAGAGCATGAGTTGGTGTACTTTAGGAGACTTGATGAAGAGTTTAATAAAGTGGTTAAGTTTTATAAGTTGAAAGTAGAGGAAGTTATGAAGGAAGCTAACATGTTAAATAAGCAAATGGATGCTTTGATTGCTTTTAGGATTAAAGTGGAAGGACCCAGGTCGGAGAGGTGGCCGGAGAGTGAAGGGTCGGTGGAGATCAGTGAGTTTTTCTTTTTTCAAAAGCAAATTTAAATGCTTTTGTTGGTTTTCTGTTTAATTTTAATTACATAATAAGGATTTTTTTTTTTTTTGTCCTCAAAAAATATTGAATTATATCAAACGAATTCTAAAAATCATGAAATGAAACAGTTTTATTTTTGTCCTAAAAAAATATTAAATTATATAAGTGCGTCAAATATTTTTTATTTTTTATTATTTTTCGCTACATTAGTTTTTAGTTTTCTTTTTTTTTTAAAAAAAACAAATGAATTCTAAAAATCAAAACCAAAAAATTTTCCTGAACAAATGAATTCTAATACATCAAAATAAAAGTAAAAATAAAAACAAAGACAAAAACAAAAACAAAAACAAAAACATCAAAATTATTGAATTCTCACATTTGGTTTGCATTTATAATTGTGATCAAAATATTTCACGTTGGTAATTTCGGTATCAATTCATAATTGTCGCTAAAAAATCATTTTGAAAAGTAAAAAAAAAAAAAACTTTTAGTAATAAAATTTTCAAAATATCGCTAATAAATATAGAAAAACAATTTAGTCCCAAAAATATTTACTAAATATCGCTAATAAATATAGAAAAACAATTTAGTCCCAAAAATATTTACTTTTTGTGACAAAATTTAGTCTAAAAGGATAGTAATTCATTACTAAATGTCTAATTTTGTGGCTATAAAAATACAACAATAACACTTTGATAACTAAAATATTTTCCCTTAAAAATAATTTTATGTCAAAATTTTTGTCACTAAAACTTTAATTTGCTGCATACAACCACCACCATCATTTTTAAGGTAGCAACCACACGCCGAAAAATATTTTTCACCAAACAATCCAAACATTACTGGAAATGTTAGGCAATTAAGAATTACAAATCAATCCCTAGTAACAAATTAAAGTTGTGATTTTTCATGATTAATTTGCAGGAAGAGCTGCCACGGAAGTAATAGAAGAAGAGGAATCAAGCAGCCATGGTCACTCAGATGAATCAGGTGATGATAAATTTTCCAATGAGAACAGATCCATCAACCAAAATGCCAAACAACACAAGCCAAAGAACTCCAAAGCCCACCCTAGGACAGCTCCTTTGGAAATACTTAACCAAGTGAAAATGAACAACACTCTCGAGACTCCTAGGTCCACCATTAAAGGCCTTCTCAGTGTTCATAATCCGAAAGAGATCAAATTCAGCAGAGAAAATCTAAAAAAAGTCGAAGAACAACTTAAGCGGGCTTTCATTGAGTTTTATCAAAAGCTTCGGCTTCTTAAGAGTTACAGGTAACTAAATGTTACGAAATCCGAAAAAGTTGAAAGTTGGCAAAAAATAAAGTGTGCAGACTAGACTCAACTTTTCGGCTTTTTTTTTTTTTTTTTTTTGGGAAAATTCAGTTAGCTTTTTGGGTAGAACAGTGTTTGATCTTTTTGCTGATAAATGAATAGCTTCTTGAATATGTTGGCATTTTCAAAGATCATGAAGAAATATGACAAGGTATTTTTCTATCTAAAAAATCTGAATTCTCTTTTTCTATCTCAGCAATCTGAATAGTAATATTTACTAAAGTTGTTTGTTTATACCTAATTATTGCAGATAACTTCAAGAAATGCATCAAAAGCTTACTTGAAGATGGTAGACAACTTCTACCTTGGCAGTTCTGATGAGGTGAGTACATAGGACACAAATATGATTCAAGAATACTTATTTCAAGCTAAAATATAATACATTATATATAATAGCTTTCTTAGGTGCTCTGGAAGAACACACACACACACACACACACACACACACACAAAACATTGAAGAATCTGATGATTCAATTTGGAAAATTGCAGGTTAATAAGCTTATGGACAGGGTTGAAGCTACATTCATCAAGCATTTTTCAAACTCAAACCGAAGTACAGGGATGAACATCTTAAGACCAAAAGTGAAGAGAGAAAGGCATAGGATAACATTCTCCTTAGGTAAGATTTCAACACTCCTCACATGGTTCATTGAGAAAAAAAATTTCTTTTTATGTCCAAATCCCTAACTTAATTTGTTTGTTGTCATTTCTTTGATCCATTGACTCGAAAAAATTTCAGGGTTCCTAGTTGGCTGCTCAATGGCACTCCTAATTGCCCTTATTTTGGCTATACATACTCGCAATATCATAAGCAAACAAGGCCACGAACAGTACATGGTTACATTGTTTCCCCTTTATAGGTAAATTAAAACTCCCCCAAATGATGTTTTCCCATGCATTTTTTGGTTCATGTTCAAAAGGGTTATAGTGGCCCTTGTCTGTGTTTGGACATGTGAAAAGTCAATTCCCTCATGAAAAAAAAAGAAGGAACAAAAAAATATATATATCGCACTTGCCAAGTCCTTAAACATAACTTAAGCAATGCCTTAACACCCAAAGCTAAACGCCTAGGGGTTTCAATTTTTGTTAGCAATTAGCACTATAATTTGTTTGACACGTGTGAATTTACCTTTTGCAGCTTGTTTGGATTCATCACGCTTCACATGCTCATGTACGCTGGAAACATATACTACTGGAGGCAGTACAGAATCAATTATTCATTTATGTTTGGTTTCAAGGAAGGAACTGAACTGGGATACAGAGAAGTTCTCCTCCTAAGCTTTGGTGTTGCATTGCTAGCATTAGCATCGGTGCATGCAAACCTCGACATGGAAATAGACCCTAAAACTCAAGATTACAAAGCAATTACTGAACTCGTGCCTATGGGACTTCTAGTCGTAAGTTGATTTAACTCAACCATCTTCTTTGTAATTCCCACTTCTATATATATTTCGCTTAAAACTATAAAATCTTTCCCTCTTTACAGTTCTTGATTGTCATATTGTTCTGCCCGTTCAACATCATTTATCGATCAAGTCGCTTCTTTTTACTTGCGTGTGCATTTCACTGCCTTTGTGCTCCTCTCTACAAGGTAAAAATCTGATTGATAACGTGATCCGATAATGAAAAGGTTTGACAATCTAAACAGTTTACTTACATAAGATTTTCTTTTCCTTACAGGTGACACTTCCTGATTTTTTCTTGGCAGATCAGCTAACAAGCCAGGTGAGTAGATGTGATTTCCGTTAGGTTAAGTTCCAATTTTTTATAATTTTATTTTTGGAAATAATTAGAAGTGTTGATTATTGTGCTGTTGCAGGTGCAAGCATTTAGAAGCCTAGAGTTCTATGTTTGTTACTATTTTTGGGGAGACTACAAACTCAGGCAAAATACTTGTATGGATAGTGGTGTCTACAACACATTCTATTTCATTGTTGCCACAATTCCATTTGTGTCTCGTCTCCTTCAGGTAAGTCCTTGTTTGGTTTCTTCCAATTCAAGGGTTTGTTCGCAAGATTTACCAGTTTTAAAGGCCGTTACCTAGGGTTAGTAGTACCCATTATTCTTTGGAGTTTTTGTGTTCTTGTTTTGGAAGAGAGGGGGAAAGAAACATTGTTTGTAGCATTGTACTTACTCGAAGTTGTATAGCTTTTACTTGCAGCTTACGAGTCTAAAAATAAAAGAGTAATTATTAGAAAGTTAGAGAAATGATGCTTCTCATTTCTTCTTTCTAATTATCAACTTTCAGCTAACAAAAAAAAAAAAAAAACTACACCAAACGGACTCATTGTAAGGAATGCAATTCAATGCATGACTTTAAACCTCTGCTCAAGCTTGGCTGAAAATATATGTCCAAGTTCAAGAACAAAGAATCAAGGAATTATTTTTTTGAAGCTACCAATCTTATAATTAGACACTTGAAACAGTTCATTTTCTTCTTCTCAGTGCCTTCGACGCTTTTACGAAGAGAAAGATGGTATGCAAGGACTCAATGGACTGAAATATTTCATAACCATAGTAGCTCTTTGTATGAGGACAGCTTACTCTCTTAACAAAGGGCTTAGTTGGAATATATTGGCATGGATTGCCTCTGCGATTGCCACGGTTTTTAGTACCTATTGGGACCTAGTCTTCGACTGGGGTCTCCTTCAAAAAAAGTCAAAGAACCGTTGGTTGAGAGACAAGCTCCTAGTCCCACAGAAGAGTGTCTATTTTGCAGCCATGGTGAGAAAGAAACAATAAGTTTTGGGATTTACCAAATGGATAGTTTAATGAACATTTGATCTCAAAATTACTAATGAATTTCATGAAAAATTATGTAGGTTTTGAATGTTTTGTTGAGATTTGTTTGGTTGCAAACAGTGTTGGATTACCAGGTTTCTTTCTTGCATAAACAAACCTTAGCTGCAATTGTACCTGTCCTAGAGATCATTCGTCGTGGCATATGGAATTTCTTCAGGTATTTTTCAAGATATTGTCACAATTTCATTTACAGAGCTTGTGATTGATTATCTAATTTACTATTTTTATGGTGATTGTTTTTGTTTGATTTGTTGATCAGGATGGAGAATGAACATCTAAATAATGTCGGCAAATATCGTGCTTTTAAGTCAGCACCTCTGCCTTTCAACTACGATGAAGATGACGACAAAATCGAGTGAAACTTAATAGCACAAAGCGGGAGTATGGGCAAGAAAGAGCACAAAGAAGTTCGGAAGGCCTAAAAGCATTAATGTATTTTATATTACAAAAAATTATAAAATTATTTATTTATTTATTTATTTATTTTTGTTGCAATATATATGTTCATTGTTGACGGTAAATTAAGCCAATAAACATAAACATAGTGTTAGAATTTCCCATCTTTACCTTCACCTACTCCACTACACACTCCACTTCACCTATCTCCACTTCACCACACACTCCACTTCACCTAACCCACTATCACCTCCACTACACCTACTCCACTACACACTCCACTTCACCTACCTCCACTTCACCACACACTCCACTTCACCTAACCCACTATCACCTCCACTACACCTACTACCACATTTTCTTCTATATATAGATTGTATAGGAATTGTAATCAATAAATCTTGTAATCTATCAATTAATCAATAATACATACATAAATTACATAAATTCTTACATGGTATCAGAGCCAGGTTGAGAATTTAGTGATTCCGCTTCACCGGCGGACGGCAGCCTCGCCTTGGCCGTCTCAACATTTAGTTCTGCGTCTCCGTCAACTGGGTTCTCCTTTGGAGCATCCTCGGTTTCTGTTGCTGCTACCAACAGTGCCCCTATGGTTTTTGGATCATCCACTCCTACTAGTGGCTCATTGAATTCCATTTTCATGTTCACTTCAGCTGCTTCTACTGCCACTGCCTCTTCCCAAGCACAACCCATGTTTGGTAGTGCTGTTCCTGTCTTCACGGCTACCTCAGGTAATGGTGATCAGATGAGCATGGAGGATAGCATGGCTGAGGACCCAGTACAGGCATCCATCATGCCTGCAGTTCCGGTATTTGGTCAACAAACTCCATTAGCACCAGTGATGCCACTTCAAGCTTATTTAATTCCACATTAACAAAAGTGATCGAAAAGGCAACCCATGTGACCCAACTTCTTAATATATTCTAAACCCACTATCTCTCTCTCTCTCTTTCTTCATGACACCTTTCAACTACGATGAAGATGACGACAAAATCGAGTGAAACTTAATAGCACAAAGCGGGAGTATGGGCAAGAAAGAGCACAAAGAAGTTTGGAAGGCCTAAAAGCATTAATGTATTTTATATTACAAAAAATTATAAAATTATTTATTTATTTATTTATTTATTCATTTATTTATTTATTTTTGTTGCAATATATATGTTCATTGTTGACGGTAAATTAAGCCAATAAACATAAACATAGTAAATTTGCATTACAGAAATAAGAATTCATCACAAACATACACATTAGTACTTACTCCTGACGCAACTCAAATTGAAATTTCTATAAAAAATAATCATCTTTTAATTCTAAAGACAAGAGTCAAAATCTAGAATATACTAACATGTATTCTCTATAGATTTTCTTGTGCATTTGGTAGATTTTCTTTGATTTCTTTAAACTATGTTTAAGTGGTCCAAACCACGATTATATCTTGAACGTAAAGGCAATTCTAACAACATTCTTACTCTGAACCGTATAAATGTGTTTTTAAAGTAGAAATGTTGCCCCAGTAGGATATTAATATTGCAACTTAAAAGGTGTTACAATTCATAGCAAATAATAATAATAATAATTGGACACAAAAGGATTGTATGAAAAGATATTTTAGACTAAAACAAAATCATCGTAGTTAGTAGGCTACGTTAAGCATTTAGTGAATAGATCCTGGAAAAGAAATATATAAAGCATACTATATCATTCCCTTACACATGCTAAGAATCAGATGGGCATGGTTTTGGGCTGGGGAAAAAAAATAAAGGCCATGACCTTATATAGTCTCCAAGGCCTAAAGGATATCTAAAGAGAATCAATGTGAATATCTTTTGTATTCAATGAATGAAATGTTACAGAGAGAAGATCTATTTATACAAACAATGGAACCTAACCATAACTACCTAACCTTGAATCTAACTACTTTACCAAACTATAGTTAACCTTTCACAGTTAACCTCTAACAAACTAACAACTTATTTACAACTGTAGATTACACAAGTGTGACATTGGCTGCAGCTGCAACTGCTGGAGCTTGAGCTGTAACTACTGGAGTTTGAGCTTTAGCAGAAGACTCTGATAGCTGATGTGGCTGTGATAGCTCTGTGGGCTGCTGATGTGGCTCTTATAATCTTATATAATATACAAACATAATTGAATCCAGCAAGCACCTCTCTTTCTTTTTTTCTTTTTTTTATTATTTTCTATATTATTTATACCAATTTATATATGAAAACACTAAAAATATGATCAAACACATAAAATTATATAAAATTATACAATACTACAAATGAATAAATAAAAAATAAAGTATTTTAGTGATATAAAATAATTTGGCCAAAAATGGGTGAGGTTTGGGATTAAAGCTTCAATCTGATTTTTCTGCTAAGAAATTCAATTTTCATCATTGGGTGGTCAAAAGAAAGCGCCCAAGTTTTAGGGCCGGTCAAAATAGGGCGTCTACACATATATGAAAAGAATGGTGACAGCAGTAGAAGTTTTCTTGATAAAGAGAGAGGAGTCACAGTGGCTTTGAACAAATTGATGAGTGAGAAGAAAATTGGAGAAAATAGAGAACCAACCTCCAGGGGCTTGCTTTAAACCATAGTGTGCTTTGTGTGACTTGCAGACAAGCTGAGGCTGATTAGAGTGAACAAAACCTTGAGGTTGAACCATGTATACTTCTTCAAGAACACCACGGAGAAAGGCATTAAATATGTCAAGCTGCTTGATGGGCCAATCAAAATGAAGAGCAAGACATAAAAGAATTTTGATAGTTGGTTGCTTAACCACGGGACTAAAGGTCTCATGATAGTCCACCCCTTTCAGTTTGAAGAAACCCTTGGCAACTAGCCGAGCCTTATACCTAGCTATAGTACCATCTGAATTCTTCTTGATTCTATAAACCAATTTGCAGCCTATGACTTGCTTACCATGTGGGAGAGCCACCAAAGACCAAGTCCCTTGTTTCTGTATGGCTTGAAATTCTTTAAGCATAGGAAGAAGTTGTCTGATAGTAATTTTGTGGCTCAGAATGATCAATAGAAGAAAGAAGACAAGCAGTGAGAGAAGAATGAGGAAAACGAGATTTTGATCTGGTACTCATGGGATGAGCATTGGAAGGAATACAAGGAAGATCAATAGAAATATTAGAAATAGGAATCTAATCAGAAGGAGCTGTGGATAGTAAAGGAACAGGAACAGGTGAAGAAGGGGTTGGCTGAGCTGCTGAGTGAGTGACAGCAGCAACCTAGCAACAAGAGAAGAAGCTGGCTGGGCTGCTGAGTGAGTGACAGCAGAAGGAAATGAAGCTGGCTGGGCTGCTGAGTTAGCAGTAGCGTGAGATGAGGAGAAAGGAAGAGACCAGAAAAACTGCTGTAAGGAAGCAGATGTTTCAGAAGAAGACAACTGAGAAGAAGACTGCAAAGGGAAAGAAGACTCATCAAACACCACATGTTTGGAAATGTAGATTTTTTCTGTGATGGGATCAAGACACCTATAGCCTTTGATTGAAGGTTGATAACCAAGAAAGACATATACAATAGATCTAGGTTGGAGCTTATTAGTGGTGTATGGTTTGAGCCAAGGATAGCACCTACACCCACAGGATCTCAAGAGCATATAATTAGGTTTGTGTTTGAACAAGACCTCATAGGGGGTAAGATTATTAAGCTTGAGAGTAGGATGTCTATTGATCAAATAGCTAGCAGTGGCAAGAGCATCAAACCAATAAATCAAAGGAAAAGAAAAATGATTCATGAGAGTAATAGTAGTTTCAATGAGATGCTATGTTTCCTTTCAACTACACCATTTTGTGAAGGTGTATGTGGACAAGTTAATTGATGAGCAATGCCTTTAGTTTTGAGAAAAGTCTGAAATGGTGTATTGAGATATTCACCCCCATTACCACTTCTAAGAATCTGAAGAGTAGTGTGAAATAGTGTCTCAACAAATGCTTTAAATTCGAGGAATTTAGTAAAAACTTCACTCTTATAATGAAGAGGAAAAAGCCTAGTAAATTTGCTAAAATCATCAATGAAAAGCACATAGTACTTAAAGCCTGAAACAGATGAAGCAAAAGGGCCCCAAACATCTGTATGGATAAGAGCTAAAGGTTTATTAATAGTAGAGTTAGACAAATGAAAAGACAATCTATGGCTCTTTGAAACACAACAATGCTCACACAAACTAGAGCCTTTATTAGACAAAAGCTTAGAACCTAGATGAGTATGGGAAAGAATATGATGAAACTTCTTAGATGAAGAGTGACCAAGTCTGAAATGCCAATTAGGTGGAGCTGCAGATAATGAAGAGCAAGAAAAACAAGCTTGAGAAGATGCAGATGCAGCAGATGTGGATGCAACAGAAGGAGATGCACTGAATGGATAAAGTCCATTTGAGTAGCAGCCTTTATACAAGATTTTCTAAGTGCTCTTGTCCTGAATAACAAAAGAGCTCTCATCAAAGGTGATAGTGCAGTGATTATCCATGACCAATTGGTGAACAGAGAGTAAATTGGATGATAGTGTGGGCACATGAAGTAGTTTTGTAAGATGAAAAGGAAATGAAGGAGTTGGAAGAAAACCCGTCCCAGTGTGAGCAATGGAATGAGTAGAGCCATCACCAACTGCAACTTGATCTTGGCCATAGTATTGCTAATAAAAAGATAGCTGACTTAGATCAGGTGTCATGTGACTGGTGGCTCCGGAGTCAAGAAACCAGTTATCAGACTATGGCTGATTTGAAGATGATGCAACATAAGCTTTGGACTGGAACTGAGTGGGAGAAGGTTGCTAAAAAGTTGTGTCTAACCTATACCAGCAATCTAGAGCAGTGTGATTGCCTTTTCCACAGATTTGACAGATCAGATTTGAAGTATTAGTATTAGAAGCAGCTTGAGTATTGTAGGTATTATAGCTGGATCTGGCTCTCTGAGACTGTGAGCCTCTTTGATAGTGACTCATCTGTCCTCTAGACCTACCTCCATCTCTGTCTCTGAAAGACCCTCTGCCTCTATAATAGCCTCTAGAACCTCCTCGATTAGAGTGATTCCCCCTATGTGCAGTATAAGCAATTGAACCTGGAAAATTTGAGCCATGTGCATGTTTAAGAGAAGACTCTACATGAATAGACTCTGAA